CCTTTCCTGGAAACCAGCCCGACAACCCTTGCCTCCCGGCGGCAGCGAGATGAAATGGGTCGCGGCAGCGTCAGGGCTGTGCCGAGTGCAGTGAGGTCCATGGGTCTTGTTTACACGACGGGGTGATGGGTAGAGTCCCTAACAGGCTCACCATCTGGCTCACTTCTCTCCCCGGCGCCTGGCACTGCCTGGCATACAGCAGGCGCTGGCTAAGTGCAGGCTCTTGGTGCGGCCAGGAGCCCCTTTGGGGGAAATAGCGGAGCCCCTGGCACTCTGGGCCTGTGGGCCCACGGCCGGCCGGGCTGCCTGTCGCCTCTGAACTCTCTCTCCCCTCGGAGGACAGTGTTCTGTCCAGTCTCTGTCCTTCCCGCTGCTGGAGTGTGTCGCCAGCCACAGAGACAGCGAAGGGACCGCAGTCCCTCCGAGCAGGGGCCCTAGTTCACGTCCCGTAGAACAGCGAGTGGTTGCTGGGTGGCTGGCCGCCTCCCGCTCTCTTCCGCTCACCTCTGCACACGTTCAACCAGTATTTTCCCCATTTTTTTAATTGTGGTAAAATACACATATCAAAATTGGCCATCGGAAGCCATTGTTAAGTGCACAGTTAGTGGCATTAAGTACATTCACATTGTTGTGCAAACATCACCACCACCCATCTCCCTAACGCTTTCATTTTGCAAAACAAACTTTGTGCCCATTAAGCAATAACTTTCTATTCCCCTCTCCTAGCTCTAGCTCAGTGGTCGGCAAACTCATTAGTCAACAGAGCCAAATATCAACACTACAACGTTTGAAATTTCTTTTGAGAGCCAAATTTTTAAAAATATGTCCGTAGGTACATTGTTATTAACTTAATCAGGGTACTCCTAAGCTGGCCTTTGCTAAAAACGTCCTCAATCTGATTGAGGTACCTTCGCTGAGGTCAACCCCTTCCAATTCTCCCATCCTCAACTCATGCATGAATTGTGCGCGCCTCCCCCACGTTTCGTATCCGGCGGCCCGCCTGCACCGCGTTTCCCATCGCCCGCCTGACAGCCCCCACTTCTTCTAACACCACTTCTTCAAAATAGACTCTCCCAGGCTGAAAACCGACTTCTGCGCATGGGCCATGAAGTTTCAATCGCACTGTACATGTGCGCCCGCACGTGGTATTTTATGGAAGAGCCACACTCAAGGGGCCAAAGAGCCGCATGTGGCTCTGAGTTGCGGTTTGCCAACCACTGCTGATTTTTTACAGAGAGGAAGGGAGAGGGATAGAGAGTTAGAAACATTGATGAGAGAGAAACATTGATCAGCTGCCTCCTGCACACCCCCCACTGGAGATGTGCCCCCAACCAAGGTACATGCCCTTGACTGGAATCAAACCTGGGACTCTTCAGTCCGCAGGCTGACGCTCTATCCACTGAGCCAAACAGGTTAGGGCACCAGCCAGTATTTTTAAAACACCTACTAAGTGCCAGGAGCTGGTCCTGTAGCTGCAAACAAATCAGTTATGGTCCTTGCTTCCTGAAAACTTATACCCATTTTCCAGATGAGGAGACTGAGGCGCGGAGAGGGAGAGGCTCCCACCTCCTCAGCGGCAGGGCAGTTTGAACCCAGGCCTCAGGAGCAGAGGCCCCTGGACCGAGATGAGTCACGTCCTCGCATGGGGTCCTTAGTGGTCGAGTCTGTGACATGGGGTCAGGAAGGAGTTGGACCAGCTGCGGTGGCTGTGAGGGCTCACACCGCATCTCCCTGACCTTGGAGAAGAATGAGCATCACCCCCAGCCCCATCTCCTCCCGTCCCCCCATCAGCCTCCTGTTAGCCGGGAGGGATCACCCTTGTCATTTTCTTTTCAGTTGAGACAGACTTCTCTGAGAAAAGGGCCCAGACTAGCCCTGCCCCTAACTCCTCGCTTCCCAACCTGGCCCAGCCCAGCCCAGCCCCAAGCCTCCGGCTGTCCATAGAGGTCAGGAGGGCGAGGCAAGGGGGCCTCTGTTTACATTCCTCACTGCTAGATGGCAGGGGTTGCGGTTTACTGTCCTGAGGGAGAAGGAGTCTCCTCCCCGCCCCCTCGGGAGGGAGCACATTTGGAGAGGCCACATCCTCTCCAGCCTCAGTTTTCCGTCTGTGAAGTGGGCACAGCATCCCTGCCTCAGCTTGGCTGGGAGGAAGGTTCACTTGGCCCCTCTCCCTGCAGCTCAGCGACTTCATTTTTAAGGTTTATTTTTTTGTAACGTCTCCCACTGGTGACTGGTTTGAACTACTTTTGTTCTGGTTCTCTCCCTCCAACAGTTCTAAAATTCCACTGGCCTACCCATGGGGGTGTCAGTGCAATAGAATAAAAGCAATAGTGATGCCAGGCCGGTGCGGCTCAGTGGTTGAGCGTCCACCTATGAACCAGGAGGTCTCGGTTCAATTTCCGGTCAGGGCACATCCCCAGTGTGGGGCGTGCAGAAGGCAGCCAATCAATTAGTCTCTCTCATAATTAATGTTTCTATCTCTCCCTCCCTCTCTGAAATCAATAAAAAACACACAATAGTGACAAAAGGGCCGGCCATGTTCCAAGGGGCTGAGTCTTTACCGCAACTGAGTTTAGGGCAGGAGTGAGCTGCCTGAGCTGCGGAGTAATCAAGTGGCCAGGGCAGAGGATGAGTGCGTGGTGGGCATCACCATCCGATCCGATAAGGAAGTCGTCACTGGTGGCCGGCGCTGGTGAAGGTGGAGAGAAGGAGCTCCTTTGTGGAGCCCCGAGGGACCCCCGCCGACCTGCGCCCCGCCTGCTGCAGGGGTGAAGGAGCGGGTTCATGGCTCTGTGAACAGGGCCGGCGGGGCCGGGGCGCCGGAGAGCAGC